TATATATTCTTATAGGAGTAAAATAACATCGTGCAGTTAGGAGTGTCCTGTTGTTTTCATTAAAACACTTCATTTCTATCTGAGACACCCGTAATGGTCAACAAATGAATATATATATATTTTTTTGGTAAAAAAAAAAAAAAAAAAAGAATAAATGTTATAGTTTGGTTGACATCGCAACGAGACCCGTTGATATTAAATAGAGATACAACTCTAAATCCTCACATATTTACAAAAAAATGTATGTAACGTCCTAAAAGTTTAAAACAAGCTAAATGCTTCTTGAAATTATACAAATTTCAGATGCAAAATAATTAAAAAAATATATAAACACACAGTTTATATAGTGTAATTCTGTTAAAGTTAAAACACGTTGTTCAGAACAATAACTAGTGATTCTATGGCAAGCCCTTTTAACATAAAATAGGGCTTGCCTTAGTGATGCAAGATAGAAAGTTAGAAGCAAATTGCCACTGTGTCATGTTCATGTGTCTTTATCATCTTCCCATCTTCATTGTTTATAATCCATGATTTAGGTTGACTGCACGTGAGCGCGGTGGGGGTGGGATGGGGGTGGGATGGGGGTGGGATAAAGTGAGACAAGGAGAGGGATCAGCTGTACCTGCTGACAAGGATCAGGTGACAGTTGTTTTCAGGAGGCAAATCGTGGCTTATATTTTAGATAAGATGATGTTTTCTTTTTTATCAGAATTATTATTATTATTATTATTTTATTGGGCCATTGAAGGCGCACTGCGCTTACGCAACTGAAAGCGTCACCCGATTCGCGAGGCAAGAAATTAAAGCAAACATTTTTGGATTCCTTTTTTTTTAGTTAATCCCTCTGATTTTTGAAGGGATTACTGGATTGAGCATGATACAGGAACCGCTGGCTCTCCCATCACTGCTCAGATTGGAAGCTCCATAGACAGTAAGTGAATTTAAGACTTCTTATTGGGTATCCGTGTCTTCTGGTCCATTGGGGACAGCTCTCTTTTAATTTATTATTATTATTTATTTTTTCATATAACTTGCCAAATTATGCACACTATAATATTTACATCACAGCTTGGCCACATGTTTTAGAACAGACTTTAATTATTTTGTGCAGCTGCACCAGAATTTAAGGTTACATGTGGTCAAAACTGGATTTGCATTTGACAGAACAGCAATAATATCAGGTACATGTTTAGGTTATCCTTCCAAAAAGCATGCTATTTTGAATGTTGAGATGTTTTGTGTGTTGAACTGGTTACAGGCAGTTATTTCTTATATGTATCAGACTTAATAGTGATAAAATATGATTGTTTTTACTTTGATTTTTAGAGCTATAAGATGCTTGATACTGATTGCTTGAAAAATAAAAAATAAATGAAAATGTGTTACATTGCTTGAGCTTGTTGCGTCTCACTATAACAGACAGTAGTTGCTTATTTTCAATCTAAAGGATTATCTGGTGCACTGCAAAGTAATCACTGGATAAGGCAACATGACTGAATCCACAGTTCACATCTCCCCCCACCAGAGAAAAAGCAACCAGGACAAATGTGTGTTTTGGGTTTATTTTCTTTACATGTTAGGGGTGAAAAAAGTAACACTGTGTTTTTGTGTTTGTTTCAGAATCTGCTTGGATCTTTCTTTCTACAACCAGCCAATGGACAAAGAAAAAGCAAATAATATGCATCCAAAATCTAGTTGCCCTGTACCCACCCGGCTTCCCATTAACTGGGGTCTCATCACTGGGCCAGTTCCCAAGCCTGTTCTCCCCACATCCTCCTTGAACACCTCACTTCCTCCTCCTTCTCCTCAGAGTTCAGCTGTGCACTCACTACAGACCAAAGTGAAGTCACAGACTCAGAGAAGAACAAGAGGGAGAGAAAGGGAGAAGGATAGAGAGAAGGTGGAGGCAGAGGTGCAGGTGAGCGATCCGTCTGGGCAGATGGCATCAGACCTCTTTCTCAGGCAGAGGCCCAGAGGTAAAGGGCAGTTTTTTGTGGCTTCAAATTCCTGGCGATCAGGTTCAGCCAAAGACCTGAGCAGTAGTGATGAAGAGGAGGAGGTAGAGGTTCAGGTCAGGTTGGAGATCCACAGTCCTCCAGTGGAAGTACAAAAAGAAAAGGGGGTAGAGGAAAATAAAGAAAAGAAGACTGAGAAAAGTGAGAGCCAGGTCAGTCCTCTGACAGAGAAGCCTTGTGGGCTCGGGGAGGGCTTCAGTTTGGAGAGTCTGCTCTTAGATAATTCAAGTAGCGGCCAGGATGACCCATCACCTCCTACTCCACCTCCTGAGCTTTGCTCCTCTCCTGGGCCCACTTCCTCTTCCTCCTTAATAAGACACTGGGCACCTCCAAAAGGATTCTGGAGAGTAGCCCGCCCAGAGACTTTACTTCTCAATGGGGTCGGCCCCCACAACATACCTCAAGCTTTACCTGTGAAGGACTATACTCAGATAGAGGCGCAGGCAGAAACTGAGAGAAAGTCCAAACCATCTGAACCTGGAAACAGGAACCAGTTGGACAGTATAGTTGATGACGCCGATGCATCCTCGCAGATCGAACACTCAGACAGTGCTGAGTTCTACCTGGACAGGTGCGAGCAAAGGGAGGAAGATGTAGCAGACTCAGTCAAAGATCTGTGCAGCTCAGACAGCTGGGAGAGCATGTCCCCACAAAGCGGGGTGCTCTGTGCCGATCTGAAACTCAGGGTGAAGGAGAGGGCTTACGCAAAGCTGAGAGAAAGGCAACGATACTGCAAGGAGAAGCAAGATCAGCCTGGAGGAGAAAGTGTCGACTTATATGAAAACATCACATACAGAGTGGATTATACAGGTGAGTATTTTAATAGAAATCCCTTGAATTTCATGTCAAGTGTGGAAATATTGTGTCACATCATCAATAGAACAAAAGAAGATTGTTGCTTTCTGATTTTGACGTGTCTTCGTTGTCAGTTTGTTTGAGTAGATGGATTGAATTAGTCTATATGAACAACTGATGGATAGTTGCAAAAACTGTGAACGTAGAGCTTTGAGTTATAAAGCCAACATTTGTTTTTAAATTTTGTGTTTGTAAAGTAATGCAGCAAATTTAAAGACAAATGATGATACAGATGAGGCAATGAACCATTATAAAAGTCAAATAATTAGGCTTTCTCTACCGGTATTTGACATCCTCGTGCAAAAAACTTGAACACGGTTATCGCATTGTATTTGCATCTGCTCTCCATAAACTGGTATAGCATTTTGAAAGATGACTAAACTAGTAAAAGGGTTTTTTGTGTGTGCATATTTTCTATGCTAACATGCTTAACCTATAAAAATGCAACTGCAAGTCCATATATTTTATTTAGAATATTTTGGCTTTCATGTAAAGTGGCATCAAGCCATTGCTCATCTTACCAAGGATACTGTATTAAAACTCTGGTCGCAACCCGGTTGATTCTCAGCATTGAACAGATGTCAGATGTGCAGATGTGCATGAAGGCTGTTGCTATTATTAGCAGTCAGAGAGGTGGGGGAAGTGTCCCTGTGTTGGTATCTCTGTTTGAGCGACGCTGGATGTCTTTGTATGCATGTAGGATGGGAGATTATGTATTATCCAATGCTCATTGATGTGTAATATCTTTGCCCTGTGAATGTTGATGTCTGACAGAAGGTCAGTGAAAGATACAGGTCCAGCATTATGAGGCTATTTTTCCTGTTGTTAAAAACTTGACAGTTTAGAGACTCTCACTGAACCTTATAATATGACGTATTGTGAAAACCTTTCTAATTATACAGAAACAAACAACTGTATAAGATTCTTAAAGCCACGACATGGATGGTTGTTTTCTTGACCGTTATGTCCCCAAGCGACAAAAAAAAAGAAACTTAAAAAGGTTAAAGCTGTAATGAAATAACTTGTTAAAACAAAATAATAAGAAGCAAAGACAAAATCCCCTGGAGACAATATTTTTGAGTTACTTTATTTTTACCCAGCTACAGATGAGTAACATACGTTTTTATTCTCCCTATCTGCTCCGATGTG